GTGCGGGACCACGCTCCAGTAGAGGAGCAACACGCGGTGAGAGCTGCAGCGGGTGGTCGCCGACGTCGAGAGCCTCCTGAGCCAGGCCTGGCTGACAATGCGTGAGCCGAGGTGTCCTTCGCCTTAAGTGGTTCGTTTTTGTTTTCAGGGGAAACCCCTCCGCTCCAAGACCCAGGCTGCCATCGCAACGGCCTCCTCGTCCGGTGGAGCAGGGATCAAGCGCTCCAAGAGTATGGGCTCGGCTGACGCGTTGGGCGGCCAGACCAAAGACCTCCCGGACTTCGCCAACTTCCCTCCCGAGGTGCAGGCCGCCATTCACCGGGCTGTCGAAGGTGTGTTGTTACCACAATGATATCGATGCAGAAATGATTCTTATAATTATAATTGATATTTCTAGTGCTGAGGGGAAGGGGGTAGAGATACATACAGGTTCATATGCAACGTGTGGGTCCATTTTTCCTCTTTATTTCAGACCCTAATCAAGTGTCTGCGAGGACGTTGATGCAGTTGGTGAAGCACATAATGGATAGAGTGGTAGAAAGCCGAAGCTTTGCAGAACCAGCTGCAAAACTATGCATCACAATTATTGAAGTAAGATTCAAATATAATAACAATCATATTAGTTTTGAGCGATTTCAAATTTCTTATCGTTGAGATTGATTGACTGAATATTTAAAACAAAACACAAACAACTTCATTTCCAGAAGGAGAAAAATGAAACATTTCTTGAGTCCCTCCTTAATACATGTCAACTATGGTATCAAAACAGAGAAAAGTATCTCAAGGCCTCTAGCCCTTCTGCAGGATCTAGTGGATCACCTAGTATGCGCTATCCAGCTTTCATGGCCTTCTTGAATGAAATGTATTGTCAGGTTAGTCTTTTACGGCACTGAAATTAAAGAAGAAGCAGATAAATATCACCAGTAAATTCTTTTTCTGATCTAGTTGAAACGACGTCAGCTTCAACTGAAAACCCAATACGATGGAGTTGCACCTGGATTACTTCTGCTGACCCTTCTAGCTAAGTGTTGTCAGGAATGTCTCAAACCCCCATCTGTGAACAGTTTGAAAGAGGTGGGTTTGCAGTCCATTTCACATCTTCAAACATTTTTACTTATACTTGTTTTCTATTTAATCTAATCTTCCCTTTGTTTGTCAGATGGAGTGCTTGTTTTTTGTCTTATCATCAATCGGAAAAGACTTAGAAACTGAGCTTCCAGCTCGAATGAATGCTGTTTTAGCGGGAGTACGTGATGCCTTTTTAACATCAGCCGCAATACCTGCAATACGAAAGACACTTCTTCAACTTATAGAACTTCATGCTGCTCAGTGGCAACTACCTGCTCCAGCAATTATGTATTATTATCCAGCTACTAATAAGTAATAAGTAATTACCTGGGTTAGCTCATTGCATCTTTTCTTTATTTGAGGAGAAGGTCTCAGACCATAAAGGTTTTACAGTCATTGAGTTAGGAGAAGTGTATTGCTGAGCATGGTGAACATGCTCATGCTGTGCAGAGTAATTCCTCCCATCCCCATCATTTAGATATTCTCTCCTGCCCCTTGATGGCCACTTTGAGTCAAGGGTTTTATAGCGGAAGGGTGATCTACAAATTCTTAGAACTGAGAAGAGCTCTGTAAGAAAATGGGAAAACAGATTAGAAGCTGAAAATGCATGAATCTAACATCCCAGCAAACTATTGGTTTGCAATTTAATAACTTTCATCAACAGTTACAATTATATTATGAAGGTACCAATAATACAATCAAAAACAAAATAATTAAAAAAAAAAACTTTGATGAGATGATAAAAAATACTCACATATACTTTTCTTGTGGCGATACATTGTTTTTTTGTTGTTGTTTTTTTTAAGTTACTATTATTGGCCCACAACTAAAACTAGAAGAGTGAGTAAATTTTTGATAATTGAGAGAAGACTAGTCAAGCAATTGAAAGTAAAGAGATGATAATATTAATTGAAATACTGTTGGCTGTGCATTCTGCTTGACACATAAATGTAAAAAGGTACCTGGTGTCAATCAAACTAAAAGTAGATGGTTGTAGCATGCTATAAGGGAACTGCCCTCTTGTTGCATTCTTACTATTCTTAGGTAAAATTTGAGTCTAGATCTTACTTTCATATTTCCAAGAGCACAATTTTCTTTCACACTGTTATTTATGTTTTTACTAAGTTATTAACCAGTGAAAAAAAAGATTGGACAACTGTAGAGTATGATATTCTGTACATTAAGGTGCACTGTGAACATTGGGAAACATTTTTGAGCAAAAACACGAGAATGTTTTCAAACACAGGACCTATTTTCCCACAGAAAGTTAAGTGCTGTACTCCTTAGAGAGTTCGTTGAAGTTGTCTGTTAATGTGGTGTCAGCACTGCAATTTTAATCATTCTGAGTTTGGTTGATGTGTTACTACACAGTAGCATATTTTATCCATTTACTAACCCTCCGAGACTGCTAGTTTGCCATATGTACGTTTTATATTGTATTGTGATTTACTTCACTGATGCTCTTGCTGTTGGTTCTTTTCTACTTTTGTAAGAAGTTGGTATTATTTTTGAGAAATGGATTGTACAGAATATTTTTTTGTAGAAAATATTACTCAGAACTATTAATTGCAAAATTGATCCCTTTTAAAATTGTTTAATTTTCCCCATTACTTCAGGAACTTCTAATAGGGTTAGACGTAGGCTTCTTTTCTTTAGTCACTATAGATAATCAATTGAAAGGGACCTAGAAAGTTCATCCCCATAACTTCTGTACTCCCTGCAACAGCAGATAAGAACATGTTAGGTAAGAAGAACATGAAATTGAGGCTTATACCAAGTGTAAATAATTACATGTAAGTCGTTTATTTTTCCAACTGCCAAAGGACAGAACACTTCTTACCATGTAGATATACATCAAATAATATTTTTGCATTATCTTGTTGAGTGTTTGCAATATATTTGTACGGCCTTCAAGAATAAAAGGAACAGTTGAGTGTCATTGTCATTTGAACAATTACTCATTATTCTGGAAGAAGTACACCAGAATTTCCCCCAAAACACTCAAAATTGAAATATAAAAGTGGAGATTTTGAACTACATTTAGATTGTAATACTGCAATTAACATTTAATTAGGAGCTGAACTGTCAATTCCCGGTACTCAATAGTTCTGATGTCTTCATAAGAAATAGTAGGCACTTCACAAAAGACATTCTGATCCAGAGGAGGCTCCTCTGGATCCTTCATTCCGGATGAAACTAATTTCTTTGAAAAACTGTGGTTAGGCTTTAAATATTTTGAAAGGGGTTAATTAAATTGAATCTCATGGTGTACTTACATAGACACAAAAACTATGTATTACGTATGTCTAAAAAATATAATTTAAACAATTTTCTTAACATTGATATCACATTGTTTGGTTTAGTATTCTTTTCATAACATGTGCTTTCATTTCAAAAAAATCATGCACAAGGCAAAATTTCTTTATAATGAGACCAAAATTTGCACCAAATCTCATGACTTCAAAAACTAAATTAAACATTATTCCATTACACTACCAGAGTCATTCAATAATAAAATATAACTAAAATCAACAATTTATAAAATGAAACTACAAAACATTGGTTCTGAAAAGTTTTAGGTAAGACTAATAATAATGTCCCTAATGACTTTATCAACAAACATACACATGATTTCATATGTTTTAGTCTGATATTACCACAGATTTCTCATGCCAATAATTATTTCCTATCTAACAGGTTCATAGAATCCCTCAAAATTCATGATGTATTTCTAATGACAGGTATTATTGACAAAGCTTTGGTTTGAAAATTAGTCATAATTGAATATATATCGCATGTTTCACCATTTCCATCACAAACCATTGGCACTAACATCTCAAAGTAGAAACAAATAGCAGCATTACTACCCATTGGTTTGTATACCACATGATTAAAAATTTCCATTTACTAGGAGCCTGATGTAGGAATTTCCCCATAACAATGCTTAGCTTTGGGATCACGGTATGTATTTTCATGCTGAACACTTTGAGAGCTTGTTCGGCACTTAGCCAAGCACAGTTCAAAGTGATCTGTTACTGAGGCAAAAAGAACATTTAATGTCTCAGATGCTTTACCTAACACATTTTGAAGAACTTGTTTCTGTAATGGAAAATAAATAATTAGCATGAGTAAATTACGCAATTCCATTGCCAAGTTCAATTAGAATTCAAGCACAAACCTTATCCGGATGGAGGCAACAAGATATGCAGTACTCATATATGCTGCAACAACCACTTTCTTTACAAGTTTCACAGGAATATCGTTTTGTATTTTCAGCCTCAATGTTACAACATCCACTAGGTAATACATTGCCTCTTGAGCAAACATAGCCTGAAGTAGGAGGAGACAAATTAACACAATGATATTTAGCATTAATAAGGGGAAGTAACTTCTTTGTGGCTTTACCTCTATCATCGACAATAAGAACTTTGCCTTGCACAGAATTTCGACATGTCAACACCTTCATTTCAGTGGCATTTAAATCATCTTTGGGTGAATGCCAAAGAAATGTTCTATCCAATGGTCGCACTGGGAGAGTGTCAATTTCATATGATGTCGTAGAGTTTCCCTGCAAGAGAATTTCAGGTGGGTTTGATATGAACATCGAGAATGACACCAATAGGGATCTAGAGTACCTTCATCATGAATTGAAAAATACCTCCTTCATGAAGCTGACTATGCAATAGGTGAGAGAAAACAGGAATATGATGCCTAGCACTATCCTCTTCCTTATGATCCGCAATATTGCAGCGGCCCACATGTCTTCCCATACTAGGGGAACAGGCCCTTTCCTTTCACAAGAAGTGTGAGCGCACACTAAATTGTCGCGGTTCTCCACCGCGCGCATTCACGAACGGCGCAACCAGGTTTTAAGGCCGTTCGGTCACTAAAATTGCTTTTCTTCTGACAAAACATATTTTTCAGAACAAGAAATAACACAAATATACAAAAACTCGCCCAAGGCAGCAGGCACGAGCGAAATAACAACAATTACAGACGACTGCGGATAACGAAGCAAATGATTATACGTAGTCAAAGTCTGCGAGTAAAAGAAAACAAATGAACCAATCGTGGCGTGAAGAAAGAAGAAGAGGGCAGATGCCGTGAGCAACGCGAGCGATTGCAAGATTTGTTTTACTGCCTGAAGCATTTACTACCGTAGTTCTTGTTGCATATAATTCAGTAAAGGAGCTCAACTTTCAAAGAAAATGTAAGTATTGACTTTTTGGGTCCTCAACTTCTTCCGTAATGGTCCGAGTTCCTTTGCTGTGGCCTATCGACCCTCCAATGATTTTGCCGGTTATTTTTATTTATATTAAAGAAAACCCAATTTCTATCTTGAGTGTTTTAATATTTTTAAAATTGAAACGCTATTGTATTAATAAGTATCATATGATTTCCAGCCTGAACTATCGCAAATCCTGCGTAATCACTTTATTGCATGTCAAAACCGGCGGCTGCCTGCTAACCTCAATGATTATACATGATACCTCCAAAGTTTATTTATCTTCTGTTACTCTACTTTCTAAGTATTGTTTAGCCTTTACCTTTTTGTGTGCTCTTCCCCATTGCTCTTAAAATCTATGATCATGATTCATCCTTTTGTATACTAAAAATATTCCTATCGTTGCCCATCAAAGTTTGGTTTGGACGGTTGCTCAAAACCCACATTAATTGTTGTTTCAGGGCTCGTAAACGACGGAGTTCTGCAGACGGTCCGAAAAGCTCAGACTTGGAGGAGAAGAAGAAAAAAGAAAGAGGGAGGGACAGGAAGAAAAAGTCAACAGCTTCTTCAGCCAGCAGCAGTGGAAGTAGTAGCAGGAGGTAAGGCCACTGCTGAGATTTTTTAGTAACAAATTTTATCATCTTCTCGACCATGCATACTTTTAACAACTTAGTTTGAATTTTCTTTTTTGGTTTACAGTTCTTCAGAGAGCAGTTCTAGTTCTGGTTCAAGTTCTGGATCAAGCTCAAGTTCTGGATCAAGTTCACGTTCAAGCTCTAGTTCTAGCGGATCGAGCAGTTCCAGTTCAAGTTCAGGAACTCGCTCCAAGGCCACTAAACGCAAGTAAGTTGTCAGCCTGTTCAATATTAGGGGCTCCATGTTTTTTGAAAGGTTTGGCATTAATGTAAATTTGTTTATACAGAACAGGAAGTCGCAGTAGGAGCCGCAGCAAAAGTAAGACTCATAGCCGCAGCAGAAGCAAGAGTGCAGATCGTAAAAATAAGAAAAAGGAAGATGATAAGAAAAAGGCAGCTGAAAAGCCTAAACCCAAGCCAAGAAGCAGGTAGGTGCTATAATTGTACTCTTATTTTCAACTCACATCACATCATAAACAGCGCTGTAAATGTTGTTATAGGACCCCATCACCTGTGAGACTTGCACGCAAGCGCAAAGAAAGAGCTCCAACACCAAGACCAGTTCGAGTTCATATTGGCAGATTAACCCGGAATGTGACAAAAGATCATGTATTTGAGATTTTTTCGGCTTATGGTACTGTGAAACAAGTAGAGTTTCCTCTTGATCGCAGCCATCCATTTGGCCGAGGATATGCATACGTAGAGTATGAAACTCCAGATGAGGCAGAAAATGCCATGAAACATATGGATGGAGGTAAGTTTTGGTCCTGTGTCCTCCTGTGTCTCAAAGTTAAGTTTTCTTCTCTAATCAAATCTATGGTTTTAGGGCAAATTGATGGCCAAGAAATTACAGCAGCACCCGTCTTGCTGCCCAAACCTCGTATGCCGTTGCCACGCCGCAGTCCACCACCACAAGTGAGGCGACCAATGCAGCGTTGGGGCCGGTCTCCCCCAAGGTAAGTTGTTTCAAGTTGTTGCACTCCTGGTGGACACGTACCGTGTGTCAGGGCTTCGGCACAACAGTATACGGGTTTGCCTACTTGCTCCACTCACATGCCATGGCCCCTTGGGTAGGCAAACTCACATGATGTTGTCGTACTTAGTCCTCAAACACGGTGTAGCTACAATCTGCTTCTCTATCTTGTTTTAATGAAACAATCTTTTTTTTCCAAGCGTTTTCACTAATTAATTTTTGATTTTCTTGCAGGTTCCGTCGGCGCACTCCACCTCCACCCCGCCGACGACCCTCTCCTCCTCGGCGAAGACCGCGCTCTCGTTCGCGGTCGCCTGCTCGGCGAAGACGTTACAGCCGGTCAAGCTCAAGCAGCTCTCGTTGAGCAGTTCTCTTTACTGCTCCGAGTTGAGAGTCTGTGAAAGAGCTGATCTCAATTTCATTTCTTTTACACTTCATATGATGTACATCTTTTTTGATGTATGAGCCTTTCTCCATGTTCTGTCCTGATGGGAATTGAAAATTTGTTCTTTGTTTTAAAGATTGACTGGTTCAGTAGTCCTGTAGCCATGGAAAATATTGAGGTAATTTGTTTGTGAAGTTGGAGTTAAGCGTAATATCACTGATGGATTTGATCATTGCTTGGGTTCTTGCAGAAGGCTTACTGTTAAATACCCTGAGCTAAAATTCAGTTCAGAAATGTATTGTAATCTATGTCAATGTAGTATTTGATTTTTGTTTGAGTCAGCTCCAGTTAGGAAGCCTTGTGATTTGCACTGAGTATTGCATCTTCCATTATGAAATCATTTTCTATCAATAATTTCAGGTTTTAAAAAAATTGCTTATCTTTTTGAAAACCTCTGATAAGCCTGTTATGTTATTTCTTATGAACTACAACATTCTTTCACTTTATTTCTACCTGATAACATTTGAAAAAAGAAATAAGTCTGTGTATGCATGTGCGCAAGTTGAATTGTCAATAAATAAAAACCACAGAAAGGCTGCATTTTTTTTCGGGGGGTGGGTGAGAGTGTCAGAAAACCCTTTGTTTCTTAATTTCTTAATCGGTCGAGTACCTAGCTATAACTAAAGCTGAAGCTATAACTCTGAGACCTATGTCGACGCTCGTGGCCCAAAACTGCAGATACCTGAAGCTGCCAACATCGGAAAACCAAAGAAAATGGACTAGAGCTTTCACAATTGGCAATGATCCGGACGGCAATGTGACGAGATGAGAACTCAAATAAATGTGTTTGACCAATGTAAAATCATTGCAAGGCCAAAATAATACATGTAAATCGTTAAATAAAGTCATTAATGGGCCCAAGTGCAAATGACACGTTGGTTAGACTGCAATAGGTTCAATGACCGGAAAGCGGACCTGAATCCGAATGTACAATCTAAGAACA